GAAAAAAGCATCAGTAGACAGATGTTTGTAACTAATATATGATAGAGATTTGGTATGCAAAATGAAGAAAAAAGGGCATTTGTCCAATGAGCGTGCTGAACTGACGAATTTATAGCAGTGTTGTTGTTATCTGCTGTCGCTGTTGCTGTTATTGCTGCCGAGCAACCAAAATTCAACGGTTTTTATGGAATTGAAATTTGTTCAGAGTAAACTATGCAACAATATATATAGATGTATATAGCTTATGAATAACAATTTTTTCCTTCAAACTTCATCAATGTATCGTTCCTCCGGACCACAGCCCGAAGTGTCACCAACTCAAACCTGTAAGTTCAATAGTTCATCAATCATTGCTTTCTGTCTGCATAACGGAACTGTCCTTCATCATTTTTGTGGACAAGAAAAAATTGTTGGTCTGTGTGTCTGTGTGTCTGTGCTTCTGTGTGTTCACATCTCTGTGTAACTTCTTGGATTTTTTTTTATAAAGTCTAATTCTGATTATTCCTGGTTTTTAGCCTCTGATATTAATATTTATATTATTCTATTTTTTCTCCTAATACTTTCTTTAATCTGTTATTAAATCTCATATCGTATTGTCGTTAACAGTTTCCTGCAATTTGATCAGAATTCTGATTTGATGTTAACTTTAAGCAATAAAAAAAAGTTACACTTGTTGCCAATTGTATTCATGAAACAACTCTAATCTTGTCAGCCATATCGGTTACCAGCTGTTTCAATTTGTTGTTGTAATAAGCTTTTTTACTGCTTTTGTTTTGGTTTAATTTTTCTTTATTGCTTCAGTCATTTCACTATTTAGGATTCTTTATCGGCAAATTGAATATGCAGAAATGCAGTTAAATTCTGGTCACTGTTTTAGGCCTCGTATAAATTGGTTAATTTTTTCATTGTCGTATGCGTCAACTAACAATAACTTTTTGAATTTTGCAGTTATCACTCGAAAGATGTCGGGTCCGATTAACCCGAAATCTCCTAGACAAAGGGAGAACTCTATCTCGACACCGTTGAAGCCTGAATTGATTCAGTGCTTGAAAGAATCAATGGGTGATGTGACAAGTCAACCTTATGTCATTGTAATTTTTGGAGCATCGGTTAGTTTTCTTTTTTCTCCTTGTTTTTATTACTAGTTGGTGGTTAATTTAATATTATTCTATGGAACAACAGGACTCTGTTTTTTTTTTTTTTTCAATTTTTTTCACGTTATTTTGACCAGTATTCTACAGTTAACTGGTAGGCATAGTAAAGGTTGGCTGTTTAATGTCTAACTGTTTTTTTTTATTAGTTACCACTTTAATATTGCTGTTTCATTTCCCGTTCTTTTGAAGTAGTCTGTCAACAGTTTTATTTTAATGTCGCTGTAAGTTCAAATATTTAGTTTTTTTTAATGGTCACTGGTAATATAGTTTCTAGTTAAGTTTTATCGGTCGTTATCGCTTTTTAATTTATCAGCTATCAACGGTTTATTTCAATTTTTGGTTTGTTGTTGATTACAGTACTAGCTGTCATTTACAATGAATGACTTGCAAATTCTTGTACTTGCTAAAAAAATACTCTTATTTTTTTCCTTTTAAAATTAGTAAGATTATTTTATGAAATATATTAGCTATAAATGCTTATGTTTACCTGCTAAATTGGAGACCAATCTGACAAGTGATAAATATTTTTTACTTACTATCTTTTAAAATAGATTACTTATCTGATATTAATTTGATTAATATCGAAACTGCGTAAGAAATGTTTTTTGAAATTCTGCTGAGAGAAGATTATGATTCAGTGGAAGTGCAAGAAAAAGTTATTTCATTTTATGTACGCCTATAAATTTTTATTTGATGGCTCTTGATTATAGGATGAAGTTGCTTTTCAATAATTTTGTATCGAGTGGACATACAGCACTTACAAATTGTGCTTTTCTAAGATGAAAAGTTTTATTTGTGTTAGAAAAAATGCCTTTCAAGATTAGGTGCAACTCATCCTTTTAGTTAGTGAATAAAAAATTGGAACTGGTCGCTGTAATCTTTTGATTGATTGTTTTTTTGTTTATACTCTAACATGCTTCTGTACGTTCGTGTAATGTTATAAGTAGTATCGAATTTATAGGACAACTCATATTTGTTTTTTCGTCTTATTTACTTCGGGCTAAATTTCCCTCTTTGTTTTTAAACTTTTCTGTTTTAATTTAGTGAGCTGTAGCGTTGGTTGTTTATTTCAGGGTGATCTGGCTAAGAAGAAGATCTACCCTACACTTTGGTGGCTTTTCAGAGATGACTTACTTCCGTTTAATTTTCACTTCATTGGTTATGCTCGTTCTGATCTTACAATGGAGAAAGTGCGGAGTAGTTTTGAGAAGCACTGCAAAGTAGGTTTTGCTTTTTGAACTTTTCTGGTCATATTTCATGCGAATGTTGTTGGTGAGGAAGAATTGTCGGAATATCTTCCAGTTGCTTTAATTTTCTATTTATTTATTTATTTTTGGTCTAGTTGTCGGTTTTTTGGGAGGTTCAGTTTATTTTCAGATTCGTGAGGAAGAGAAGGAGAAGTTCGAAAGTTTTGTGAAACGATGCTCGTATCTAAGAGGCGAATACCACAAACCGGATGGATTTATTGCACTTAAGGAAAAGGTCGCTGAAATTCAATCTGCGACGGACAATAGTAAGCTGTTTTATGGATTCACGTATGTAGCTATTTCAGAGGAGCTTTTGCTGAAGTTATCAGCGTAATATCGACATATTAAACTCTTTCACGTTTTATGCATTTTCAAATTATTGTTAATAAGCCTAAATCGATGCTGATTTCCCTTTGCCTTAATTGGATTTAATCTTATCTATCCTGTTATATAAACTCTTGTAGCCCCTGTAAATCGACTGTACTACCTCGCTTTGCCTCCACAGGTGTACGAAGCGGTATCATCTCAAATAAAAGAGCATTGTATGGATAATGGGTCAGATTTCGTCACTTTACCTTTTTTACATATTGGACATAGATCTGGGTTCTTTCTAACCCAATCTAGTCCTGGAATTCTGCTTCTTTTCTGTTTTGCTTTCACCTTAAAAGTTGTTAAAAAGGAGTAAAGTGTGGTAAAAGGAGTAGAAAATTCTGCTGCTGATACTTTTTATCTTTTAAAAAGCACATTATTAGAATTCAACGTAAGCTAATAATAATTGTAAAAGACACGTTAACTAATCTCCAATTCTTAAGTGACTCTTGGACAAGGATTATTATTGAAAAACCTTTCGGACGGGATACGGAAACTTCTGCAAAGTTATCGAATCACTTGAGTAGTTTATTCACAGAGAAGCATATTTATCGCATCGATCATTATTTAGGGAAGGAAATGGTTCAGAACTTGATGGTTTTGAGGTTTCTTATTGCTATCTCTTTTAATCTTAGTAACTGTGAAGACGCCTATATTCAGTTTTTTACTGTTTTATTTACTTTCTTTCAGATTTGCAAATCAAGTCTTCAACCCCTCATGGAACCGTAACTACATTGCTTCTGTTATGATTTCCTTCAAAGAAGACTTTGGCACTCAGGGGAGAGCAGGTTATTTTGATAGTAGCGGAATTATTCGGTAAATGTTTCTTCTTTTTTTTGTTTAAAGCCTGATTTTGCTTTTTTGTTTTTAAGGCGGTTTTTTGTTTAATAGTTACAGTCGTTGGTTTCAGTGATGTGATGCAGAATCACTTAATGCAAATGATGACTTTAGTGGCCATGGAGAAACCTGCCAGTTTGCATGAAGAAGATATTCGTGATGAAAAGGTATTTCTTTCGAGATTTTTCAGATTAAGTTGTCTCTTAAGATCTGCATAATTTCACCTTTGGGTAGTACAAAGTTTCTGACGAATAAACTTCTCTCTGCCTCTTCTGAATACCCTTCAATGTCAAATAAGCAACGGTGGTCTATTGCTCTAATCTCATTCAAAATTTTTTTGGCTTCTTTTGTCACATTGATTTGTCCCTTTTCATGGATATAATCGTTTATCTGCTAAAGGATGAAATATCTAACCAGTTAAGAGTGGACTAGGAAATAAAGTTTGAGAAAAATGAGGGTAGGCTTTCCAGTGCACTTTATTACCTCAAGACAACTAGTAGAGGTGATGCGGTTGGGAGGCTTTTAAAGTGAGATTGTTCGGACACTGATTATTAAATGTGATTGTTTCATTATAAGGGAAGAGTAGTTTGAAATAATGAAATAAATCAAGTAGTAGTTGGAAAGGTAGATATATATGGTAAGGGAATTTTATTTGTTGTGCATAGTAATCCGTATCTGAATTTACATAGTAGACAGAACGTTATCTTAACACCTATAGTACCGAGTGAAATGCGGGGAGTAGAATGCTCCAGTTCTTCAAACGGTTTTGGTTTAACAGAGTTTCTTCATTTATCTTTTCTTGCTAAAAGTTTTATTTTACCACTATAGTGTTTTTGAATCAGTAATCTAATAAGTAATGGTAAGACAGTCTCGTAACTTTTCTTAGCTAAGAACGGTAGAAGTTTTTAGCGGTTTAGGTGATACTGGCTTCCAATTGATTTGTCAATCTGTTTCTACTTTCTTTAAAATTGGAGTAGAAACAAACGACGAATCACTTTTTAAAGACTTTTAAAAGGACACTTCATGTAATAGATACATTACCACTGTGGAGATCTGTCTTTGTTTCAAGTAGTACTGGTTTTACTTTGCATTAATGAGTAAACATGTGTCGAGAAGAGTAGGAAACATTTGCTGGTTTTTTGAGGAATCAAAATCCTACCCCTAATTTTAAAAATTCATCAACATTTGTTCCAGAGTAAGCCGACTTGCTTTGCAGGTCAAGGTTTTGAAAGCCATAAAACCATTAAGTATTGAAGACGTTGTTATTGGACAGTATGTAAAGAATCCTGAAGCGAAAGGTAATGCACATTTTTAGTTTGCCTAGTATTAATGGTATTTCAATTACTAATATATTCTTTTCTCTTCATTTTTTTTGCAACTTATTACCTATGGGTCATAAAAGGAGAGGTTGTATTTAAAACATCCTACATTCATTGAGATCACTAATGTTCTTATGACTACTTAAGAAGGGGAGGAAGCATCAGTGGGTTACCTCGATGAAGAATCGGTTCCCAAAAATTCTACAACTCCAACTTATGCACTTGCTGTATTGTACGTTAACAATGAGCGTTGGGAAGGAGTACCATTCTTTTTACGATGTGGAAAAGGTTGTTATTTTTTTTATCATCTGGGAATATGCCTATTTTCCATTTAGCGGCAAACATCTTTTTTGCAGCTTTAAACGAAAGGAAAGCTGAAGTCAGGATACAATACAAAGAAGTGCCTGGTGACATTTATCCTACTGGAGATTTGAAGCGAAATGAGCTCGTCATGAGAGTTCAACCAAATGAGGCGGTGTATATGAAAATGATGACGAAAAAACCTGGTATGGGCTTTGCGGTTGATGAAACTGAGCTCGATTTAACCTATGGGCGTCGTTATAAGGTTATTCGTTTTTGCGTTTTAATTCGCTTTCTTTTAAATGTGGATTCTTTGGTATTTTGGCCTATTAGTACTTAATTATTATTTTTTCTATGGGTTTTTGTACTTTTAGGACGTTAGGTTACCAGAAGCTTATGAGCGATTGCTACTGGAAGTTTTGGTGGGATCTCAAATAAACTTTGTCCGAACAGACGAGTTGGACTATGCTTGGCAGATCTTCACACCGTTATTAAAAGAAATTGATGCCAAAAAACATAAACCTGTGGATTATGTGTTTGGAAGGTAAAAGTTCAGGTTGTTTCTATTACTTGATCCTTGAAAAAAAAAACTAAAGTTTTCGTTCTTTAACATGGTTGCTTCTAAATGGAACTTTTTACTTTGAACATGTCTGTAAAATATTTTTTAGCCGGGGGCCAGCAGAAGCAGATTATTTGTTACAAGAACGTGGGTTTGTTTTCACTGGTACTTACAAGTGGGTGAATCCTCATGAACATCATTAAAGAAATTTGCGCAATGTATTTTCACGATTTAGATGTCAGGATGTAATTGGCATTCGCCGTCCCATTTACTTATTCTTTTTGCATCGTTGTGTGTGGTGAGTTGAGCAGTATAATGATAGTCGATTAGCGGCATAGTTTGTTGTATAATTCTTTTGGAGCGAATGTTGATTGAAGGAGTTTTGATGTTTTTCAGTAAATTTTTTGCTAGTTTTTTTCTAGGTATATTAATAAATAATGTTAGTTAGACATTTGGTTATTTTTTGAAGTTTTTTGTTACAAAGAACAGTTTATTGAGTGCCTTATCACTTTTTGGGTTTTATATCTTAGAATATGATTCCAGTTATTCTCCAGTTCTTCATTTTCTTATTCCTTTCTTTTCTTTCATCAATTTTTTTTTTGACGCTGCATCAGTTGCTAAAAATAGCTTGATTGTGCAGCAATTCAAATATGTATTTAATGCTTTTAATGCTGTAATTTCACACATATCTAGTTAAAGCTGTACTCATTCTTTTACAGGTACTTTCTTTATTTTTAAACAATAATTTGTTTTAAAAGTTACTTTATTTTTCAAATATCGTTGTAAATTAAGTTGGTAATGTTCATTTTTTTTGAAATGTCTGAGCAGTAACGCTTAATAAATCTCTGCAACTGTTTTTTTCCTGTATAAAATGTTGCTTCCTCACGAAGTATGTTCTGAAATGCGTTTCAGAGTTCTCTTTGGAATTTTGAAGTAGTTACACCAATAAAACAAGGTTGGTACCATTTGCTTCAATTACTGACTATAGAATGGAAATACCACTGAGTTTTGATACATCGTACTGAGTTAAACTTGGTTTGAAAATCAGAGGTGATTCAGCATGAAGTTTTTGACCATTATGGTCTTGAGGAGTATTAGAAGATCTAGTCATAATCTGACTCCAGCAAATGTTGAAAAGCCTCATTTTTGGATGCCTGATTTTGTCAAATAGTCGACATCCTGAAAAAAACTTGGGAAATTACAATTGTCAATCAACTCTCTGACGTTCCCCAAAGTCTTCTTTGCCATTATTTTCTTCGCTTCGTTAATCGGTTATTCTTCTGTTTAGTGTCGAGAAAAACTGCATTTCTGGCCGGATATCACTGAGAATCAAGGACAGAATTTTCATACTTCTACATTCATTGATAATTGGATGGCGAAATATCAGTTTTTTGTAGATTTAGAAAAACTCCCACCGCGGTTTTCTCAAGGGTATTTAATAATCTAAATTTTGAGATTGGGGCCCTTCTCCAAAATGCAAGTGGAATAAAAGAAATTTACCAAGATTGGTGCCACTTCAAATACAGCAAAATTCTTTATAAACAGACCAAACCTCGTGAAATTTTTAGATGCCATTAGTTGCGAAGCAACGTAGAATCAGGACGAACCGGAGTAAAAACGATTGGGGTTTTATCCTTCAAAATAAAATTTTATATTCAAACAGTAGAAGACCAGAGGTGCGATGAGGCAGCTTTGTTTTTGCCAAAAAATTTTTTTTATCGGTTTACAGCAAACTAAATAAAAAGTATGCCACTTGCCTGGTACATCAAGAAATGTTTGAATCGCATCGGTTGGTTTTTTGTAGACAATAATCTCTATGAAACTGAAGGGGAGCCTTCCTCGCAACTGTTAAGGGTACTGAGGAGTCGTTGAGTTCGTGCTGCAGAAGAATAGTACTTTGATTGTTTTGAAATTCTGCATGTTACAGTGTCCTTGCTGAAAATAAGATTAGACGAATGAAAAGGGTGTATGAAAAGAATTAGAGTATTTGCGACAGAAAATAAGAAATGCTATCAAATCATCGCCATTTTTTTGCCGCACAAAGAACATGACCTGCAACAGAAATTTTCTTTAACTTGTCAACTGACTTTTTATTACTTCCCCCCTGTTCTATAACCTTAAAGCCAACTAGCTTATCGTGTCACTTAATGCTAAAACGAAACTGTTGTGCGAGCTTGGTAAACCGATTTTACAATTTGGAATTATAATTTATACCTACTGTTATTTCTGTATTGCAAGCGAAAAATGAAGCAGTTTTTATCGTGGACATAGATATCTAATGCCACCTAATACAACATGCTAGTATAGTGTGAAAGTAAGAAGCCTGTTCAGATGCCAACATGTCGCTATTGCTTGGAAGCTTAGTCAGAGGGGGTTTTATAGGGCTGTTTGTATGGGGACTTGAAACAAGCTACTTTATTTGAGCAATTAGAAGGAACCGCTGTAACTAGATGAAGAAACTGAAGGTGCTTATGCTAGGTTGATAGTTCTGCAGCTTTTCATTTCCAATTGTATACCGATTTTAATTTTGATTCAGAGAGCAACAGTTTTATCTGACTGATGTGTCCTTGAAACTGCAACTCCAAAAAAAGTAAGTGCTAAAAAATTCTTTAAGGTCAGTATCAGATTGGCTAAATGTTTCTAAATACAATTTTAGCGCTCTTTACACCCAACGAAACTTTTTTGTGCGGCACACTTGGTATTCTAGGTCATTAGACTCAAAAAATTGTTAAAGTTGAGAAGTCTTGTTCTTAAAATGTTTCCGCTTGAACTCGGAGAGGCTGTTTTCATTTTACGTCATAAGGAACTATAATGGTTTAGTTTAATTTGTTTCGCTAGGCAGTAGCGCTAGGTTGATAAAATATAAGTAAGATAGATAGGTGACTGCACGCGGCAGAGAGTGCGAATTGGATAGCTTTAGTGGATGATTAGACCTCAAGCTCAAGTTATTAAACTTTTATTGTAGCAGAAAGCTACAGAGCAACTACAACATTATAACAAGATTTTGTTAGCAAAGTAACGAGAGGTGTAAAAACTATACTACGTGGAAGATAAGATTGATTTAAATTCCTATTAATCAGATATAACTAGCTTAGTAAAAAACATAAGTAATTGTAGGAAGCTAAGCAGGCATTCAAGCTGAGAGAGGCATTTACAACAAACTAGGCGTTTGACAGCATTGCCGGTAGAGCCGGTGAGTATGTTTGACTTCATGCCTTCGCCACCAATTTGCACATTCGACCTAAGCACACGATATTTGTGTACCGCTAATTTTTTAATTTTATACTCTTTGGTTTATACATTAGCTTGGCTTTTAAGAGAGCTGTATTTGGCAAACAGATCAATAATATCTGTAAAACAGTACACTATTGGCTACAACACTGTTTGGCATCCTATTTATTTGTAACTGTCTTTTGAGCTCGTTCAGGACAACCTACAACCAGTAGTAAATTGCATTGATAAAGGGAAAATCTTTTGCGCTTATAAAAAGTGAGATATTGATCTGTCAAGTAAGAGTCTACAGAGTCGTTTTTATTAACCAGCCAAGGTTCTTTTCACTCCAAAATGTGATAGCAAATTTCGGTCGACAAATTTACGATAACATTCGGCCTTCAAAAAATATTTAGATACCTGGTAATTTTGATGAAACTGATGCTAAAATTATTCAACAGTCAAGGACCAGGTATGCTCAAAAATGTTAGATGACACCTTCCTGAAATTTGATATGAAGTTTTATTATTAACATGGTTCTTTATTAAGTTTACAGAAACTAATTTTATATAAAGTAAACATTTGTATCACTGCAACGTGCTGAACTCTAGTGGGTGTTTTGAAAAACTCCATGTGAAACCCAGCAGCAAAGTTGTCGTGACATTTGTTATTGTCTTATTTTGACGAAGTAAATGCAAAGAGCAATTTTAAAAACGTTTCTTTCTTCAAACGATGTAAT